GCAAAGCCACTAAATGTCACTAAATGTCAAGGAAAACGTGATCATTACTGTAATATCATATATAATAGTCTTTTAATCAAGATAAAGATGTGTGAAGGTTTAGAAGGTGTTTCGTTCCTTATGACTATGAAACTAATGCAAGTTTCTGAAAAGACCATTATTCAAAAATTGTTCTGTCTTCATTTTAATTAATTACATTTTGCTCATTTTTATCTTACCTGCAAATGCCTTTGAATTTCTATCAGTTTGTAGAAATGTTGTTAATTGTATAAACTTACATATTGTCTGATGCTAGTTAATTAATTAGTACATCAAATGCAATAAAATCCCTAAAGAAGTTTGATGCATACATATCCCAATTAATTGTCATTTAATCCGCTAATAAACACATCAAAGTAACTGACCACCGTTAATTACTTTAATTAACCGCATCACTTCAAACATTCCATTTCACAGTTTGTGATTTTAAAGTGTGTCAAATTACACGATCACCGCTAATTAGTAAACAATCGATAGGGAGATTAAATTTTCCTGCAGGGTAAACATTCTCGATTTACAATGAATTTCACACCTTTGGATATTTCCGGATTTTGGAGGTAAAATTGCATTGATTTGACTCTAATTTTTACGAAAATATTGTCCGGAATTCAGAATTTAGAAGTTCCGGAATTCAGAAGTATTATGTTAATAGAAAATAGAAGGGAAAAAATCGGAACCGAAATTTTTTTCGGATTTTAGAAGTTTCCGGATTTCAGAAGTTCCGGAATTTACACTGTAGTATGATTTGATTGTGTGCTATATATTTGATAAAGTCTTCTTTGTTTGGAAAATATACTTATACATGTATAACAGTCAAAAATAGCCTGGATAAGTGAGATCAGGTGTTACATTTCATTGACAATTATTACATTATTATAACAGTAATGTACTTTGATAAAATTGTCCATGTAATTATAGTTGGACAATTTTATCAAAGTACATCAGTGTAATAATAATGTAATAATTGTCAATGAAAATATAATATTAAATGTTTACTTTTGATCAATAATAATTTAATAATAAATGTTGAAAAATTGATGACTTGCATTTTGAAATTGTATACAGATTCATTCCAGTTTTAAATGGAATTTGTACATGACTTGCATTTTGAAATTTTATACAGATTCATTCCAGTTTTAAATGTAAGTTACTGACTTGACTTGTCTAATGGAAGTTAATGACTTGACTTGTCTAGTCTGTCTTTTCAAACATTGGTGTACCTTTCTGCAGCCTCCATTTGTTTCTGATATCTGTCTTAAAGTATTACTGACAAAACAGTGATAAAGACAGCATGAAATTAATGTGTGATTAATCAACTATTCTATAGGATAACTATGACGATGACCAAGTTGACCCCTATCATGGTAAACAGGAAGAACAGCAGGCCCCTGATGACTTTGACCTTCCAGATGACCTTAACCTTGATGATGACAATGATGATGGTGGTAAAGATGATGAAAAGGAAATGGAAGAAAAAGGTATGAGTTAAACAAAATGTCTCTGATTCATAATGCTACAATTATGATTTATGGCCTGCACCTGACATTATGACCTTTATAGAGTTGGTATGGCCATAACACGAAAGATTTCTGTGTTGTACAGGAAATGATTAGCCCTTACCCTGCTGAAACTCATAGTTAACTATACAACAATCTATAAAACATTGACTCTTTCAGTAATTACTCTAAGCTTAACCATATCAGATTTTTCTATTTGAACTTATTTTGCTTTAAATTTTAAATTGTCATTTTGAGGTTTAGTTGATATTAGCTTCAAAATACTAATAACAAGCTGTTGATGGTGTAGAGTCTGATCAGACTTGACAGATTCCATCCAGGCCAGGCTGTATACTAGTAGCATTATCAAGGCATAGTTTGCACTACCATTCTTTAGTTAAGAGTCTATTCATGAATTCGAAAACCTAGCTAAAGGCCGTTTTCCGGTACTTTCTGTACACAGCTCTGGGGAATTCACCTGTAGGGTGTGTAGTAACAGTCTGTATGTTTTTGGCATTTTAAAACAATGATTTCTTTGTAAGAAAATAATTTAATATCACTGTATGAATAATTCAATGCAAAAAATAAAAGTAAATACATAAGTTAATGCAGAAAATATCTCTATTTCTTATTGCAGATGCAACAACGACTGTTTTAATTTTACAGATTTTTATTATAAATAACTTTTTTTGAAAAAATCTGTGATAGATAGTTATGGAACATTGATAATTTTCAAACATGTCAAGTATTTCCATCATAAACTGTAAAATAATGATAGAAAAATGGAAATTTAATAGTGTTATGTACTTCATTGGGTGTATTTTCCCAGAGCTAAATCCGTAACGTACCAGAAAACGGTGTTAAGCTAGGTTTTCAAAAAGGTCAATATTGAAGGATAATTTTGATACAGGTCAAGAGAAGGAGGACGACACTGCTCTACCCCCAGAAGATACTCCTGACAATGCTGAAGATGAACAGAAAGTAGAAACTGAGGATAAACATGAACAAGAGGTAAAATTATGTTCTTCTATTAAAACAGACCTTTAACAAATCCTTTTATGAAGACTACTGCTCAACATTTTATAGGGTAGTTTCAGTTATTTATAAGTATTACTGGACTGAACGTTACATTGATTTTCATTGGGTATTTGTGATGTTTAAATTATCTATATACACATCTATAGCAAATTTATATATTTTTTTTTGTTTTGAAACAACTGAAAGCAGTTGTGTAGTATTACAAATTCTCTGTAACTTTTGACATGTGAGTCGGCCATGTGTAAAAGGTTGTTTGACAATATGTATTGGGTTTTATTTCTGGCTCGTGTAAATTCATGAAATTGTATCTTATTTTGTGAAAATATAATCCTTATTTCACCTAACCAAAAAAAAATCCTGTTAATATAAGCTTATAACAGTTAACTATACTAGGCCATATAATCTGTCAAAAATATTTTAAAGATATATTATGCTCAAATTTGATATTTGAAAATATTGAAATTGCTACACTGTCTCCTTGTAAACATAAAATCAACATGTTTCGATTTTCACACAAAGTAGATATGTTTAAAACTTTACACACTATAGGAGGCCACAATATGAATGTAATTATAGTGTCATTAAGGAAACTGGCAGTTGTTTTTAAGAAAGGACCAACTTTACTTTACCTGTAATAGGGAATGCAGCTTCCTTTACATAGTTTATACATTCTAAGATTCACATATTCTGTAAGAATTTCATAGATTTCATGAAATTTGTTTTACTCAAAGATGAGCACAGTATATGTTTAACTATAAGAATATATGTATAAATGTTTGTATAGACTGGAGAAGATGGTGAAGATAAAGGAGAGGAAACAAACGAGGAGGAGAAGACTAATGATGGTACTGATACAGCTGATAATGACGAGAGACAAGAACAAGATGGTGAAGATGATCCCGGATTTACACCTCAAGTCAGTAAATAGGATTTGATATGATATGAAATAAATTTGCCTATTACATTCTTTTATATTTCTTTTAAAGCTGCATGCCTCCAGATAAGCCAAAATATTTCAAGAAAATTAAATTTGAGAAAAATGTACTTAGATTTTGGGAAAGTGAAAAGATTAAAGATTCAAGTAAAAATTTACATGTAAATTGGGATTAAATAATTTTATCAATTTCTATTTTTGCATAAATGTGTTTTTATCTTACATTACATAAAGGATGAGTCAGCAGTTGATGCAGAAGAGAATGAGAAACAAAATGAAGCGGACGACAAAACACCATCAGTGGAGCATTATGGGAAAACTTCCCATGATGCCACAGAGAATGTAGAGCAGAGTGAAACAGCAAAGGATACTGCTGGCGAGACGCCAGAAAATGAGCAACAAGAGGTTACTATTGATTGGAAATTTTGTTTCGTATTCTTCTCATTGATATCAAACATAAGAATGAAGTGGAGTGGTGGCATTAGTTTCCTGCCATTAGTTTCCTGCCTGTCAAAGCAAGGGTTGTTGGTTTGAGTTGAACAAGATTTACCCCAGTGATGTTCCATTTAATACAAGGACGGGTCATTCAATGAAAGAGATACAAATTTTGATTCACAAACTGGCATCACACTCAATTTTGAATGTTTACACTTAACATTTGAATCATTCTCAGCTTAATTAATCTATTAGAATTTGTTAATATATTACAAAGTTGAAGTAAAACATTGTTTAATGAGTCAGTAAGCTTGATAACCAGTATTACCTAACATAAGCCCATTTTAGTTCAATATCGTATATGAAATCTAAAAAAGGAAACAAGTTTTACATTATTGTTTCTATTTATTTCTGTATATGCAGGTGGATGGTTCAGGTCAAGCAAGTGCAGACCAAGTTGAAGGTCATCAAGGTCAAAAGTCAACCAGAGTTGCAGACGCATCTTCTAGTGGGAAAAGAAAACAGGTATTTATAATAGCCAATCAGGTTGCCATGGTGTTTTTTAGCTCACCTGTCACAAAGTGACTGGGTGAGCTTTTGTGATCGTTTTTCGTCCGGCGTCCAGCCGTCGTCCGTCCGTAAACTTTTACTTTAAATGACATTTCCTCATAAACCACTAAGCCAATTTCATCCAAACTTCACAGGAATGTTCCTTTGGTGGTCACCTTTAAAAATTGTTCAAAGAATTTAATTCCATGCAGAACTCTGGTTGCCATGGCAACCGAAAGAAAAAGCTTTAAATATCTTCTTTTAAAAAACCCTAAGAGCTAGAGCTTAGATATTTGGCATGAAACATCTTCTAGTGAGTGTCTACCAAGTTTGTTCAAATAAAAGCCCTGGGGTCAAAATTGGCCCCGCCCCAGGGGGTCATTGATTTCCCCTATATGCATATAGTAAAAACTTAAAAAATCTTCTTTTAAAGAACCCAAAGAGCTAGAGCTAAGATATTTAGCATGAAACATCTTCTAATGAGTGTCTACCAAGTGTGTTCAAATAAAAGCCCTGGGGTCAAAATTAGCCCCGCCCCAGGGGGTCATTGATTTTCCCTATATGCAAATAGTAAAAACTTAAAAATCTTCTTTTAAAGAACTCAAAGAGCTAGAGCTAAGATATTAAGCATGAAACATGTTCTAATGGGTGTCTACCAAGTTTGTTCAAATAAAAGCCCTGGGGTCAAAATTGGCCCCGCCCCGGGGGTCATTGATTTTCCTTATATGTGTATAGCAAAAACTTAAAAATCTTCTTTGTAAAAACCCAAATAGCTAGAGTTTAGATATTAAGCTTGAAACATCTTCTAGTAAGTGTCTACAAAGTTTGTTCAAATAAAAGCCCTGGGGTCAAAACTGGCCCCGTCCCAGGGGTGTCATTGTTTTTAACTATATGTTTATAGTAAAAACCTAAAAAATCTTCTTTTAAAAAACCCAATGAGCTAGAGCTTAGATGTTTAGCATGAAACATCTTCTTATGGGTGTCCACCAAGTTTGTTCAAATAAAAGCCCTTGGGTTAAAATTGGCCCTGCCGGGGGGGGGGGGGGTGAGAGGGAAGAAGGGGTCGAGGAGATCATTGTTTTTTCATTATTTGTGTGTAGTAAAAACTTAACATCATGAAACATCTTCTTATGGGTGTCTTCCAAGTTTGTTCAAATAAAAGCCCTGGGGTTCAAACTGGCCCCACTTCAGGGGCCTATATACAGGTGAGCGACCTCAGGGCCATCATGGCCCTCTTGTTTAACACTTAATATGTTTAGCTATCCATATTTTGTCAACATGAAAAGTTATTATAGGAATATATAGCCATAATTCTGATTTAAGCAGATAAAATTATTTAGGTTATAGAGTTATGAAATCAACCAGACTATAAAACCAGACTTTTGCATTTAAAGACATTTTCGAAAGTTTTCATATAGACAAAATTAAAACTGTTCTATAGAATTTCTTTAAACTTGGCATGTTGTTAGAATATGATAACAAAAAACATTTTCCATTTCTATATTTTAATCTTAGAGAAAATAAAAATCTCTATATAAATATTGCAGCAGGAAAGACAGCCCGGGAAATCTGACAGTGAGAGGTCATTGGGGTCATCAGATCAGAAATACAAGAAACTAAAAACTACAGACTCTACCCTGGATAAACAGGAGGGAACAGAAGATAACCAGGTAAACTTTTACATTAAGACATTATCTAATTACAACCTGAAATTCTGAATTTCTGCTGGACCTTTTTGAAACTGAAAAAAAAAATCAATTTGGATAGCTTCTACAGATTTGAAGAAATTCAATGTCACATAAACTTTTAAGAGCACAACATTTTCAATTCAGAGTTAAATTTTCAAGAGCCCAAGAAATATTGTTTTTTAAATGACAGCTTTCTTATATACATTTGTAGATCTAAATCATAAAATGATGAATTTGTATTTAAAAAATGTTTTTGATTACACTATAAAGTTACACACATTTATCTGTGTACATTCAGGAGTCAGAAGAACAGAATAAATCTGACCTATATGAACATGTAAAAGACTCCAAGTCCCATCATGATGCGCAGACACTAGATGTCGCCACTGCTGAACAACAAGAGGAACAGGGGCAGATCACTCACGAAAATGAGGAAGATAACTCTGATGTTGATGGTGATGAGGAAATGGCAGAAGATGAAAAGGATACAGAGGTAGGCATTATAAAATATTCCCAAAGAAAGAAAATAACTCAATTTTAACAGTATGCCTTAACTTCATGTAAGTAGCAAGTATACATTTGATAATGTCATTTAACTCATTGACTGCTGTAAATGAAAGTTATTAGCTCACATCCTGGCAGTCTGGCCAGCCTCTATATTGTTGACTGATCAACTTTTAATTTTCATCTTGACTTCCCCAGAATTAATGATGGACTTATTGAATAATGGAAGTTAGACAAGGCTGTTTATGAAATTCAGCACTAAAGGGTTTTAATGGTTTATGCATGATTGCTTAATGGTACATGTATATTTTTTGATATAAGTGTTTTTATACATGTACATTCCTTCCCAAGACTATTAATGGATAAAAAATTAGTTTTAATTACATTAATTTTCATCTTTTGAAACACTGAAACTATTTTCACTTTTTTCCCCCAAAGGATACTGGAAGATTGGATGATCTGCTGTCTACTAAACTAAAGAAGAAATCCAGAACTGAAGCAGAAAGGGATGGAGAGGAATCTGAGGATAAATGTGAAGCAGACGGCGAAATTCATGAACTGCCAGGGGAGAGAATCTTGACTGATACTGTTGCCAGGGGAAGCGACTCTACAATACATACTGCTATGGAGCATCTGTATTTAGATAGTAATGTAAGTGAATCAGAAAAGAATTTGAAGATATAGATAGATATGTTAATGGTCTTCAGAAATTCAAATACCTAGTTAAGAATGTATAAAGTGTTGGATGTTTTTTCTTACTATTGCATTTATGTCATTGCGATCTATATTGAATTCCCACCAAGATTTTATGTTGCTTTCATTTAACACAGCTCATGTTTCAATTCAATTTGTGACTTATGTCAAAGTATACATATAAAATACAGCTATACATGTGAAATTAAAATCAACCACCATCGTTTGCAAACTAAATCCTATAGAAATAAATCATTATATTAAGTACTCACTGTAACTTACATTTTTGTTCTGGTGTAATATTAGTTTTTTGAAAATTGATACATTGTATAATGTGGGTTATATTTTTACAGATATTTGACCTTGAGAGTCTGAGGTCAGAGTTGGAGAACCAGCTCGGATCATGGACACAGTCTAACCTTCCAGCTGACACAGATGCTGTAAGTTTATTATCACATAACTCCTTAACTGATAGTTGTAATTATAACTTGCCTTTGTGACAAAATTTACAAAATGAAATAATTGAGTCACGGCATGACTAAACTAACATTATGCATTTGCATCCGCGCAATCTAATCAGGATCCATGCTGCTCGCTAACAAACCCTAATACAAGTAGAACAAGAGCTGTCGGTAGGACAGCAACGCTCGACTATTCTGAGTGCTTGATAGTAAAAAAAAATGCTTGATACAGTTACCTCCTCCTGTTTACAGGTTGTGGTAATGATAGTGAACAAGTGTGCAAAGTTTCAAAGCCATATGTCAATGAACTTTGAAAATATTTGAACTATTACAAAAACTTTAACATAAATTCTAAGTCGAAAAAGGGGCATAATTCTGTCAAAATGCTTGATAGAGTTACCTCCTCCTGTCTACAACTTGGGGTCATGATGGTGAACAAGTGTGCAAAGTTTCAAAGCCATATGTGAATGGACTTGGAAAATATTTAAGGTATTACAAAAACTTTAACATAAATTCTAAGTCAAAAAAGGGGCATAATTCTGTCAAAATGCTTGATAGAGTTACCTCCTCCTGTCTACAGGTTGGGGTCATGATGGTGAACAAGTGTGCAAAGTTTCAAAGCCATATGTCAATGGACTTTGAAAATATTTGAACTTTTACAAAAACTTTAACATAAGTGGTTACGCCGACGCCGACGCTCGGGTGACTGCAATAGCTCTACTTATTCTTATCGAATAGTCGAGCTAAAAACTGAAAGCAAACAACATGGATCTTGATCAGACTGAGACTGCGTAAGCGCAAACACATTATGTTGGTTTTGTCATGCCGCAACTCAATTATGTTTTCTTCATTATGTCCAGATCTAAGGTATTTTATAAAAGTTCTTTGTTTCACTTTCTTAAAAGCTTTTGGGGGAATTTAACAAATACAGTGACTGTGACTCAGTATACATGTATACTACAATGATATATCTTATCTTGCAAAACTTCATGTTAATCACATGTATATTGTTCAGGTGGTTTTTCTTTATGAACTTTCAGGAGAGTGCAGCCAGTGAGTTATGGCACAGATACGAGGCATTAACTTCCAGTCTGGCACAGGATCTATGTGAACAATTACGTCTAGTGCTAGAGCCTTCACAAGCCACCAAACTCAAGTTAGTTGACATTACAAATTCCTGAATGTATTGAAATGATTTTTCCTTCATACCTGATGCTAAAATGTTAGAAAGAAGTTCACTCTTTTTCAAATCAAATTGATTTAGTATTGAGTTTCTGTCACTTAACCAAAATGCTTGGGTCAGAAACACAATGTGTTGTAATGTAACAATAATTAAGAAATTGTTTCTAGAGAGAGTTGTTCAAAGAAACAACAAGCTTTTTGCATAATCAAGCTTAGAAAAACATTGCTTAACCCTCAAACTTCTGGAAGCCAGAGTCATTAGGCTTAGCTTTTGCCACCGGTATAGAGCCAGGCTAGCCTGCACTTCTATGCAGGCTGTGAACTGTTGATAAATTTTTTGTATTTTGATTTTAAAATACCTTAAACTTTGAATGGACTAGTCTTAGTTCAAAGAAGGGCAAATCCATTATATAAATTCAGCAGGTTAAAGGTTAAAACCTATATCACATAACTTATATATCACATAAACCGCAGCTTAGGAGTATAATAAAATCATTTAATAAAAACGATATTACACTAGTGTAATAACACTTTGACGTGACATCATTTGCGTTATATATTAACAATAGCGTTAATGCACTAATGTAAGCATTACACTGAAGGCACTTTAATACAAAATGGCTCTTTTTGACAGTTTACAGTTCTTATTTTAGAGTTATGATAAATAGAATATTATATTTGTATGGATTCAATATTTAATAAATTGAACTCATTGAGTAAAACAATATTATGTTCATCATTGAAAAATGACTCTTTTTGACAGTTTACCATTCTTATTTTAAACATGTGATAAATAGAATATTATATTTGTATATTAGAATATTATATTTGTATATTAAATTAATAATTAAATTTATTGAACTTGTTAAATAAAACAATATTATGCTTGCCAGAGGCTCGTTATTCAACTTGTTCAATATATTTAGTATTTAATCTAAACTCATTCAATATCCTCTATATATATCATATGTTGTATGTTACAGGGGAGATTATAGGACGGGGAAGAGATTAAACATGAGGAAGGTTATACCTTATATAGCCAGTCAGTTTAGGAAAGATAAAATCTGGCTACGGAGAACAAAGCCCAGCAAACGACAGTACCAGATTATGCTGGCTATAGATGATTCCTCTAGTATGGTGGATAATCATTCTAAACAGGTAAATTATCATGGCATATAGCAATCATATTTGTTTTGTTGGTTAAAGCTCAAATTTAACCCCAAACCCATACATGTGAACTTTTTTTGATGATCAAGTGGAAGATTTTTTTTCAAAAAGAGTGAGATTTTAGAATTTGCAATAAACAAAGATAAAAAAAATAGGGAGATTTCTTTAATTTATTAAAATGCCCTTTATTTTAAGAAAAATCTTTGAAAATATGGCTGCAGAAAGCGGGAGTCTCCCGCTTAAAGTTGGATAGTTCACATGTATGCAAACCTATTACAGAAAGGGATTATCTTGATTAGTCTTTGCCACCAGGCTATAGCCTGACCAGTGTGCACATCTCTGTATTCTGACAAGGATCTTAACTGTTGGATGAAGAACTTCAATTTTCTATCTTGTTATCCTTAAAAATGATAATGAGGCAGCTCCAAAATGGAAGCTGGACAAGTCCATTTAAGAAACTTAGGCGGTTAAGAGTATAAGTATTTCAGTCATACACCAGAAGCATCTAGTTTTGCAAATGTTTCTTGATTCTCTCCCAGTACTTAACTGTTAAAGAAAGGCAAAAGTTGACAGTGAATTAGGAGTAAAGAGTATTAAGTGGTTATACATACTTTACTTCAAAGTATTTGGAAGATACATGTTGTTGCTCATTTGTAGGAGCAAATGCTATGAAACATTGTCATAGGTTTAAGATACATGTAGAGTGTTTCACTGTGGGACCACAATAACACATGCAATAACCAATGCAGCATACAAACACCTGTAAATGTTATTAAAAAGTTTTTATTTTTTTATTATAGCAATATTTAAATAAAATAAGTTTTTATGGCAATAAAATTTTCTATTATTTAGATGGCCTTTGAATCCCTTGCACTAATATCAAATGCACTGACCTTACTAGAGTCTGGACAACTTTCAATATGCAGGTAAGATTTATTTATCATGTGCTTTTATTTGTCCCCACTTGTATGGCGGAGGGGGGCATATATATATTTGCCCAGGTCTGAACAGATTTGCCGCTGTCTGTCATGCTGTCAGTAGACTGACAAAACAGTTCAATGTGGGTGCATGTGTTTCTTGTTGACACATTTCTAGTTGATTTAATATTAAACCCCAGATATATAGAGCAAAATCTACAATATATACGTCTTTAAATGGAATTCATGAAGTTAAATTGTTATTAGAGTAAACTTATATCTCATTTCCACTTCTACAAGCTTTAATTGAATAATGAATGATTAATGATTTCTGTTTTTATCTCTTGCTAGAATTGGCAAACAATCATTTTCATTTTTGTAGCAATAATAAATTATTTATCCTCAATGATAATGGTAATTACTT